CACGATCGAATGGCGATCGCTCGCCTTAACTTTGAAATTTAATAACTTATGATCGGGACGTCCGATCATCAATCCGTCTGAACCTACAGACTCCTCACAACACCAGCTACAACATAATTAAAATTGGACACGATCCAACGGTCCGATAATCTCAAATCAATGGTCCACATTTGTGAGGCTCCGATCGTCGATTAAACGACGGAATCTCAACAATTTAAACATACTATCATGTTCAGTAACTCCAGGACTACATTCTGTCTCTAAAGCCTTAATTCAGAATCGCCACCCTGCGCCGCCACCGCCGGTGGTGGTTTGGGTACTATTCCGGCGACGGACCACCCTAAAATCGCCGGTCAAGACCTATGCCAAAATGTTCGTAATACTGAGTAGAACAACTTTAATTCTTACCTCGAGGTCCAATTCGAAGTGTAAGTGGCTCAAACCGCCGGTTGAAGTTGCTGATTTCACTATTGACGAACCAACTTCGCGGCGTCGCCCTGCCTTCACCGCACCTCCGATGACTCCGAATCTTCTTGGGTTGTGTTCACAAGATATCAGGCTTTCTATCTGGGTTGGTGGTGTCGATCACCTCCACCGTACTCCGCCGTAGAAGCCGTCGGAAATCGCCTCTCCGATGAGCTCTCAAACCTCCGGATTCAATTGCAATTTCTGAATCCTCAACAGTGTCCTTCTGAAATTTATAGGCAAAGTCTCTGTTTGCAGTTTAGTCCCTGAAACTTCAAACGAGTATAACTTCTTTGTTTCAACTCGGATTCACGAACCGTTTGTGCCTACGCGTTCGTGAGATCAACCTCGATTTTCCAAATCAAAAATCATAATTTTCTCGCTTCAATTTCTTGTACTTCCTTTGTAAAATCATAAACTTAATCATAAAGGTATTTTGTCCCAAATTGAGATTAAGTCACTTAATTCCAATATTTCCACACCAAACCAAAATCATACAACATCCAAAATAGTCACACGACTTAATAATATTTTCCACAAAAATAATAAAACCAAATATTATTTTTGAGGGTATTACAGTTATTTTCTAATTGGTTCTTATAAAATTTTAACACACTAAGAACCAATTAGAAAAGAAAATGACAAGTGACTAGTTTTGAGTTTTTCTCTACAAATAGACTCTGTATGAGCTTTTTGTATAGTACGTCATGTAAAATAGATTTTTGAATAAATATTTAAAAGTTGTAACCCATTTGGAAATGCCAAACCTTCCAACACAATATGAGTTGTTTTGGTGTGGGAGGATCATATATCTCAGAAGCCTACCAGTGAATTCTCATTCCAATAGTATAAAGAATTGTTTCCTGCAATTTCCAATCATTGAACATACAAACTAAATCAAAAACTGCAATTTCCTTCCACTTTCCCACTTTTTCTCAGCAACCAGAACCAAAAATTATATCAGAAAAGAAATTGCATCCAGAAATGAAAAATCAAACAACAAGACTCAATCCATCTACACATAAATCATAACAAATAGATCTACATCTACACCACATTAAAATAGAGAAGAGAGGAGATAGGTACATCCCAAATGTAAAATTCACTCAAATTTCTTGGTTTAAAACAATTGGAAACCCTTTACATTTCGGCCTATCAAATAGTGATGCCAAATTTATTTACTAAAAATTAGCGTAGACTGTATGATTTGGATTTGGACCTCTCAAATCCAAATCCCTCCTCCCAAAATTCACAATCCAAACGGCCCAAGTAATGAAAGATCATTAACCTACCCTCTTAATCCCAAAATGAAAAGTCATTCACATTTACCTTCCTTAAAAAATACCTCATATTCCATAAATAAATAAAAACTTTAAATTTAGTAAGATATCCAATCCTAGAGACCAAACGAACCATGATTATAATTTTCAATTCCTAGTACAATTTGGATGGTTGAGATATATTTCTAGTAGACTTGTGATTCTATAACTTGATATCAATTAAAATTAAAAGGCTATGAGAGTTTTATCAACTCTCTTGCACCGGTATTTCCGTACATCGGCCTATATCGTATAAGAACTAGATTTTAGAAAATCGAAACACCACCAGTCTCTTCTTCTCATTGATCCCGGGAAACTGACTACGGAGAGATGGACTCCACATCTTCGTCAAAACTCACCTACATTCCTGAAGAAATTGTACGTGAAATCCTCCTGAGGTTGCCGGCCAAATCTTTAATCAGGTGCACTGCGGTGTGCAAGTCATGGAGTTTCCTGATCAAAAGATGTAACTTCATTGACGCCCATCTCAGCCGCAAATTATCATTCCAATCCAACCACCAAATCGTCGATGGTTGTCAACTTCTTCTGCTGGAAAATCACACCAAGCTTAACTTGTTGTCGTGTTATGGGGATATCCTTTACCTTAACCCTGCGTTACCTGGTGGTGCTGCTGTTACCGAGCTTATGAATCCACCAATTTTGAACGAAAACACTGGTTTCGCCATGGTCCAAACTCGTAACGGGCTTGTATGCCTTACTTGTACTAAGGACCACAAAGCTGGGAATGACATCTTTATTTGGAACCCTTCAATTAGAAGGTATGTGGGGTTGCCTAGGCCTAATTTTATTGTAAACCTAAAAAATTATAACATCGTTCGTCACTTCTTTGGCTATGATTCTCACACCAACGACTATAAGGTTTTGAGATGTGTGAGTGATGATTTTACCCTAGTTGCGGTTGAGATTTACTCCTTAGCCAGAGGCTCCTGGAAAACCCTTACCACGTCAGCTCCTACATATATTTTGGGTTTGACGTCGCTGCTAACTGGCTTTTCTCTTACTGGGCTGTTGTCAATGATGCGCTGCATTGGGTTCGACTCCGTGAACGAAGAGGGAAGGACCTTGTCATTGTGTCCTTTCTGAATTATTTGGCGAGATAATGATGCCTCAAGGTGTGAGTGTGAGAATAATATAATATCCAAACGTGGACTGCCACGTATGGATTTCAAAACATAAGGGGTCCGTTGCCTTGATCGAGTGTAGCACTATGTTCATCGCAAGTTCTCAGGCTCAACTTCACTTGTGGGTCATGGAAGAGTATGGTGTAGTGGAATCCTGGACCAAATTGTATACTTATTCTATGGCACAGTATTCTTTTTTCTCTCTTGGTTTTAACGTCAATCACGAACACGTGTTTATGCTTGATTTCCGTAAAACTCCACCTTCGCCTTCACTGATGAACTTTTACAATTGGCAGAACCAGAGAACTCATCGAGGGGACAGAATGGATTTTTTTGTAGAGAGCCTTGTCTTACTTGGCCACCCCAATGCCATTTCCTACTAGACTAGAGAATCGCTTTTGCTTTTGTACGTACTATACTGTTAGATTGTGCTTGATTCAGTGGATATGTATTATTTCAACATTTGAATGTGTTTGCTATATTTAATTTCTTCAGTATTATCACTATGATGGAACATCAAATAGCCGGTGTTATATAGCCATTGTGGTAGATTGATAAATTAAATTGTGTTGTGTAGATTTTAAGTGGCACAGCAGTTTCAAGAAGTAACTGTATGTCATCTTTAATTATAAAGCGCTAATAAAAATTTAACTTAAGTGATTTCATGGCTATTTAAGAGAAAAACATTGAGGCCGGTGCCATAGCCCCTAATTTCTTATAAACTAGCCTCTCTACATGTGCTCCCACGCCTAAGGCCGTAGCACAACTTAAAATCATATGCAAAAGGGTTAAGGTTCTAATGTTAAGTTATGGTTAAACTATACATCAATTGCTTCTTTTTCAAGTAGGGGGGTAAACACCCCAAAACAAAAGAAACTATTCACCCTGGTCTAAACAGACCAATCTAGCTTTAGGAATACCTAAAGCATCATCAGCTCGACAAGAACTGACCCAACTAGGAGCCTTGTCAAGAATGAACAAGCCCATATCCAAGTTATAGCTCCATTTGGCAAGACAGTCAGCAACTCTATTCTTCTCTCTATACACATGTGTGAGGGTGCAATGACCAATTTTTCTCATCAGTTCACAGCAGCTATCAACCAAGGCTGCCAAAGGGTGCAAACCAAGCAGAGAAGGCTGCAGGCAAAGGTTCATAGCGACAGCGGAGTCCATTTCAATGATTACATCCCTAATACCTTTTTCCAAGGCTAGTTGCAGACCAAAGAGGAGCCCCCAAACTTCTGCCTCAAGAATTCGGCCTTATCCTAGATTAACAGCAAACCCAGAAATCCAGTCACCATGAAAATCTCTAATAACTCCCCCTGCTCCAATACAACCTGAAGTTATCTTCCTAGAGCCATCCACATTAAGCTTAAACTTGCCAACCTCAGGAGGGTCCCAAGCCAAAAGAAGTTGGGTCTTAGCATTCCCCGTATTACCAACAAGAGCCGACTTAAACCACTCCATAGCTGACACACAAATAGTCTGTCTAGGATTAGAGACCAAATCTGCATCTCCAAGAAACTCAAGTCTGTTTCTCCATTTCCACAGATGCCAGCATGTGAAGGCAAAGATAGTGTTCCAAGGCAATCCGCCAAACCACTTCACAGTAGAAAGAAGATTTACATGTAACCAAGGACCCAAGTCCAAATGGAAAAAATTAGCCTTGTGATTTGAGCAGGAGCATAACATTCCAAACATCAATGGCCCTTTCGCAATCCCGAAGAATATGCAAAACATTTTCATTTGGTCAAGAACAAAAACCACAAGAGGAATTATTCTTCAGTTGTCTTCGAACCCTTTGCTCATTAGTCAAAATTTTACCCTGAGGAGCCGCAAGCCACATAAAGTATTGTAACTTTGGAGGGATTTTTAACTTCCAACAGAAATCCCGCCAAAAGCATTCTCTAAAAAATAGATTATATGCAGATTTAACTGAAAAACTACCAGTAGGACTGAGCTTCCAGATTTGGGCATCAGTAAGGGATCCTAAGAAATCCACAGGTAGACTAATGATTTGTTGGACAAGATCTGCACTTAAGGCATCTTGGAGCTTATCAATATCCCACCAACCAAGCTTGGTGAAGCTTGAAACATAGCGGTCACTGTCCTCAACATTCAAATTTTCGATCTCCAATTTTTAGTTTGTTTTTTTATTATAAAAAAAATTAAAATAAAGGTGATTAGGGTTGATTTTCGGATGGATCAGATTGGAATTAGGCGATTCCAATTCCAATCCAAAAAAATTCGGAATGAAAATTCTATTCCAATGCCGTTCCAAAAAATTTCGGAATTTCAATATCCATTCAAATTTGGAAAACTTGGAATTTTCGAAACTTAAATATTTTGGAAAATTTCGGAAACTAGTTCAAAAATCTAAACATGCCCGACCATTTGAAGGATTAAAATTGACTCAAAATTGAAAGCTCATACAATAAGCTTGGAAACTATGATATGCTAGCACTTAGATATTATTATCCTTTAAGAAATAACTTGTCTATCTCTATTTGGTCATCAAATTATATTTAGTTCAACATGAAATTAGTAATTGTGTGTAGTCTAAGCTTGAAACCCCAATTATTTCATAATTCGAAATTTTTTAGAATCTCTAAATACATTCCAATTTCAATCCAATTTTTATCAGAATTTTCGGTTTTCAGAACTTTCGAATGTCTGAATTGATTTGGACTTTCCAAAATCGGAAATTTTTGGAACGGAATCGGATTTTTCAATCCAACTTGCACCCCTAGGTGAGATAATTCAAACGTAAGATCTCTTCCAACAATGATAAGCAAAACAGGTCTTAAAAATTTTAGGATCAAGGCAACAACAAAAAAATAGGCCTGCATAACACTCATTATAATGTTTCTCTTTCAATAAAACTCAACAATTCACAAAAAAAACCTTACGAAAACTAGAATGTGGAGTCAAAAGGCCAAGGAAGTTAATTTTTGTGATTGACAAGAGAATTACTATTAGAGTAGGAGCTAGTTCATTTCCTCCTCTCTAATGATACAAAAGAAAAATAAAAAATTGTCACGAATCTAGTTATCTACCAAGAGGAGAAGCCTCTTTTGACAAATCACTTGTGCATAATTGATGTTAAGAGGTAAAATTGCGCCATTTCGATTTGAAAAGGGCACTCACATTACTCAATACTGATTATGTATTCATGTGGCAAGAGCATCTCCAGGAATGCCAGCCAAACTTTCAACTTTGACTTCAAATGAAATATAAGGTTTTTATTATTATTTATTTTTAATTTAAAACCCACTTTTATTTTTTCAATTTATCTAGCCACTTTTATAGCTAATCGCTTAGTCAAAGTTTGGAGTTTTGATCAATTTGAATATTCAATTTATTATTTCTAAATTAAAACCCACTTATACTTCAAAAGTTGTACATTTGAAGGATTTGACTAGCCTCATTTCTCTCTCCTATCTAGACAGCTAGCCACTGTTCAAAAAACGAAATTGACTCATGTATGACTACCTTTTTTTTTCTTTTTTTTTTTGCTACAGGACGTAAACATGGTTTTAATAATTTAAGTTTTTATTATTATTTGAATTTGAATATTTTTGTTGTGATCAATGAAAGTAACTTGAAACAAAAGAGTTAATGATCAAAATGGGAAGCACCTGTACATAACTACTGGTGTCTCACTCTGTGCACAGCCGTTAATGAAATGAGAAAGGAAGAATTCAATAAAGAAAATTAAACTCATATATATGATTTTCTTAGCTGCCCTATGTTACTGTTGAAGTTTTAAAGAAAAGCTCTATTTCTTCTAACAATCTCTTATCCCCAAAATTTAATCCTCCAGAATCCCTGTCTAGACAAGACTTGGATGACATCAAGTGAATGAGATACTCACAAACTTCTCCCATGTCGTCCAGGATGGCGACTGCCTTTTTTTTATGCTCTTTTGCACTTTCATCTTGACTGTTGTCAGTGTACTTCTGTTTTCTGCAGGCCTGCAATGTGTAAAATAACTGCATTATCTCTCTTTTTAATATGCTGCCTGAAATGTCCAAGGCTAAAATTTTAGGAAAATCCATCAGCCAGTGTTCATTCTAAAACAAACTTGACGGAAGTATAATGACTCATTTTCATGTTTGAAGTATTAAAAAAGGAAGCATCATTTTAGTCCGTTAAAGAACACGAACAAAACCAACAGAACAGAAAAGTGCATGACATAGGAATGGTCACCTGGAGCAGCTGATTTACACTACAAATTTGTTCCGCCTTTAAGTACTCAGAGTTCAATAGAGCTCGAAATAAAAGTACAATCTCTGTGCTCAAATTATTTGCTGCAAGGTTTTGAATGATGCCAGATATGCAAGAATCATCAAACACCGATCTCATCCATTCAGGAACCTTCGGCAGCTTTAACAATGTGACTGCTACATGAATTGCAGGCTTGTGAAGATTAATGAAAGATTTTGATGCTAAGCATGGGACTGCTAAAGACATTGCCAGCTCTTCCACAATCATCCTACTCCAATGATTCCTTGTAATCACAATTGTTCCTTGCATTCCCGGCAATTCCCAACCCAAGATCATTGATAGGCAGAGGCCACAATTCATAGCCACTCTGAGGTCACTGTAGAAAATTAAGCCTTCTAGGACAGCCATTACAGACATTAGGTAGTCCATGGTGCATACCAACTCCTCCCCTGTTCTATTCCTCTGATCAGATATTCGGGTAAACAACTCCAATAGGCAGTATGAAGCAACAAGTTTGACCAAAGGTGATCCAAAATGTAATAGTCTGCATAGGTCATGGCAGAATATCCGGATAAAGGAAATCTGCTGTAACCTATCTGGGGGATCAAAGAAATTTTTCCAGTCCACAATCCCTGGTAAAACAGTGTGCAAACTGGAGGAAATGGAAGAAAGAATAAAAAAAACAGTTAGTTTCAAAAGCAAAATTCAGTTGTATGGCTAAATTTAATACGAGGAACTAAACTTCTTAAAGAGAAGAAATACAAGGAACTAACCTTCTTAAGGAGAAGAAGTTTAGTAGAAGCACAAATATTAAAACTTCTCCACAGTTAGTTTCAAAAGCAAAATTCAGTTGTATGGCTAAATTTAATACGAGGAACTAACCTTCTTAAAGAGAAGAAATACAAGGAACTAACCTTCTTAAGGAGAAGAAGTTTAGTAGAAGCACAAATATTAAAACTTCTCCAGAGCTTGTTTCCTCATCGTGGTCAACCAATGCTGGTCCTTTTAGACATGCTTCATGAATTGTGCTGTTGATTGTAGAGACTAGAGAAGTGCTGAAAATAATGGCTTTCGAAGGTGCTATGAGCACTTCATTGGAAGAATGGTGCAAAATTAAACAAAGAATGCCAGTTACTATGAGACATTCTTGATTCCACCCGTCTGCAGCTCTTGTGGTGATAATATTTATCAACTACAAAAGAAGACAAACTGTCTCATTAAATTCCTGTGGCAGCAAGTAAACTGGAATAACATAAATTAAGTAAGTCACCTTCATAGTCACTGCAAGCCAACATTCAACATCAGAAAGAGTTCCATGGTGCACTGAGCATAAAAATTTGATAATTAAAACTAAAACGGGTGTGGATATCTGTGGGGACTGTGTATAAGTTGATTCGCAGAAAAGATTCCGGAGAGCACTCCCAATACCATGCAAGCATAACTGGTTGGAAGCAATTGGAAATATATCGATAATAGTTGCCACTAGATTCACTACAGAAATAATGTCATTCTCATGTCCTTCTTTCTCGAGAAGTTGTGTCAATAATGGCACTAAAAGTGTTGATCCATGATTATCTCCTCCTGCTATTAATTCTGCAATTAAATTAACATTTACCATATGACTGTTCTTTCCATGTTGACCAGAATATATTGCTCTAGAGAAGCTAAAACCAACTTATCATCTGCAAGTCTGGAGAGCAAAGTATAAAATATTTGAAGAAAAGTAGGTCGTAATTGTTAAATGTACTGCAAAAAAACATAGCAAAATGAATGAAACTAGAAATCAAAATCTCAATTACCTTTCATCATATAAAGAACTGGTGTATAAAATCAGCAAAATGGCAGATTGGCAAGAAGATAATTCCAGATTACGGGAGTTCTTTTGCCCAAGTAGAAAGAGCAAATCAATGGGATCAGATGGGAGACATAAAGTAGCATCTCTAATAGGTTGCCCAGAATCATTTCCCACAAGAACATCTACCAGTGAACTGAGCATCAGATACACTCTCCATTTCATCTTTTCTGTGGGAAATAAACCTAGGCATCCAAACGACAAACTGAACCAACTGCTTGAAACTAGGTTCTCTGCGAGTTCTGCTACTTGATTATTGGAATCCTGAAGCAGTATCGAATGAAATGTTTCCAATACTCCAAGGACAGTTTCCTCATCCATTTCATTGAAGTTGGTTCCAAGCCAAGGTAACAAATGTTTTGTACATACATTTACAATAAATTGTCGTAGTTCCGCTTTAGTGGAGTCAGTAGAATTTCCTTCACGACTATAAATATTATACACCTCCTTAAGTAGGAACAAGGAATGCAAAAGTTTACAAGGATTCTTCTCCGAGATACTTAGACAAGCTGATACAGCATGTTGCATTGCTTCTTTAATTGAAATTTGTAGATTCAAATTCCCATGAACAGATGGAGTTCTGACAATAGCTACAACAACTGAGCAGGTCAATATAAATGTCTCCTCAAGCATGCCTATCTCCCCATCAGAATGCTTTTTAAGCATCTTTGCTAGAACAGGTACTAGCTCTGTTATATGAGAGGAGGATACCATTCCAGGGCAATCAGATATGCAGTTCAGAATGAGTTTTAATGTCTGATTTTGAACTGGATGGAAAGGAATGTCAGCTACATAATTTAGTACTGGAACCAAAGTTGCAAACCCAACAACAAGCCTCTGTTTGAAAGCTTGCTCAGCTTTTGATAAAATGTCAAGTACCTGAACACAAGATTTGACCACTGGATCCTTGCATTCTGTTCATCAACAAAGCTTATTAGCTCTTTTATTCTTGGGTTCATGAAGTTGGACTTTCTGATGCTTTGACTTGATAATACAGTCATAAAAAATAAAAATAAAAATAAAAAGCTTAAGCAATCTACACTAGGACACTGAAAAATTTGTAGAAATTCAATAAATACTTCTGAATAATGATAATTGTTGACTCCTTACTTAAACAGCACAGTTCTGTTTTCCTGATGTTTGGCAATACTCAAAAAATATCAAGCAGATAGCTGTTATTGTTCTATTTGGCACTGAAACTTTACCAACCTGACAATCTTAGTATTTCAAATACATAATCTGCAATGTTCTCTTCCACTAGGAATTGGGCTTCTTTGCCTGAAGTGCCTTCCCAGGAGGACATGTAATGAAACAGTAAATCAAGTGTGCTGATCTGGACTTGGCTGTCTGTTGAAAGCATTGGGCCTTTGATGGCTTCCGTAAACAATATATTCATTGGATTTGCATCTTTTCCATCTTCTGTTGCTTGCTCAAAGCTATCTCCTTCGGACGAACTCATGCTGTTTATATCAACTGCATATGCAGCCCCGAAAAGCCCTCTCAGAGCCAACACTGTCAAGAATGCTGCACAAATAATATGGAAATTGTTAGTTGAGAGAAGACAGGACTGATACCAATGAGGGAATGTGCATGTAAAATGGGGAGAATTCCATTCTGCTTCCCCAAAGAGTTATATATTACCTGAAAGGTTTAAAATTATAACTGTTTCCACTACAGGCAGTAAGTTCTAGTCAAGAACTCAAGCACTTGGAGCTGCAACGTTTTTATCTTTTTATTCTAAATAAACTCAAGATGCAAAGTATCTTGTCATGAGATATGAACAAATTGATGGCATTGTTGTACAATCATTCGAACTAACTGATCCAACTATTGGTGAGAGAAATTGCAAGGACCTTCACCTTCAAAGTTAAAATATGGTCTGACATCAATAAGAAACAATTGTGGTGTAGTCAGGGAGTTCGATTGCAGGCTTGATGTCTACTTTGAAACATTTAATAAATAGAAACTCATGGGGTATAACAAGCTGACCAAAATCCTAGTCATATATTGCTGAGCTGTGCTTCAAATAAGGGAAAATGGACCCAATTCAAGAAGTGGAATACTGACCTACACAATTCAAGCGGACATCATCGCTTTGGGTCTTCATGAGGGCCTCTAGAGACAAGCGCAATAGCTTGGGGCAAAAGGCAAATAAAAAATCAGTTCCATCACCAACCTCTGATGCGTATTGGAGAACGGATACCTTGTATAGAACAAACAGGATTTCTCCCCGAATCTCTTCACTGTGTTAAAGGTATAAAATAGAGGATTTTAGTTATAATGTGGTAAATGCATGGAAAAAGGAACATGTTATATTATCAGTCTTCTTTATTTGTTACCTTGGCAATTGAAGACCTTCAACAAGATTGGTAATGAGACCATATTTGTCTCTAATGTGAGCGTAAGGATTATTCTGCTGGCAGTTTAACAAAACCCCTAAGCAGTGAAGCTGCACTCAAAGAATGGCAGAATTGTTAGCAGGGATATATAGGTTTTGAGATCAATAAGATGTAAGTCTTAAAGATATTGTTGAAAAACGTTTCGTTAGTAGAAGCCAGTGGGTGCACAGATGCTTATCATCGTTGAGACTTCCTTGTAGACTCTAAACCATAGCTATTAAACTTGCATATGAACAAAGTCATGATGCACAAATTTAATATAAAAGGCCAAAAAGTAACCAAAATACAAGGATCAGAGAGTTTCAGTTCAGGTATACTCAAAGTTGAGTTTCCCCCTAACTGAGCTTCAAAGTCATGTCACATGCGAGGGCTTAAAGTCAGAAATCTGATCACCCTAACTTGCCCGCTCAAATTTCATTTGACTCAGAGAGTAGAGAAATCTAATTTCAAAGAAACAGGACAAACTATTCAAGGATCTCAACCAACACTAACTCATCCTATTCTGTATATGAATATAAATAAGACAATTTCAGGTTTTAGTTACAATCCTTCAACTATAGTATTGTTGTACCATGAGAAACCAAAACTAACCAAGCTAGCCTGCATATGATTATCAAGTTCGATTAATAACCGATCGATGAGAAACAGTAGAATCAAGTTCGATTTCACCAGATTCATCCACCCAATTTCTAACCCCTAACCAATCATACACTGTTTGATTACCGAAAAATTACAGAATTCATAATTTTCCTTCATAATCTCAGGAAGCAAACAGAAAATAAAAATTACCCAAAATATATATCTAAATCTGAAAATTGATATGTATATTCACAAACACGCAGAGTTTTAATATGAGAAACAGTAGAAGAATCAAGCTCGATTTCTCCACATTCGTCGGACCGTAACAAGTCATACACAGTTTCGCTACCGAGAAACACAAATCATTTTCTCAGGAAGCAAACAGAAAACAAATCACAACCGGAAAATTTGTTTTTAAGTCTCAACAGCAATTCCAGAGTTCACAGACAAACAAAGAGAGAAAGGAGAGATGCGTATGATGGAAATACCGTATAAAGCTGACGGCGACTCCAGGCCAAGGCACCAGATGAGAGGCGGTCGGAAACCCTAGCGACGAAGTCAGCAGAGATCGAGGCACCGGAAGATTCGCAGAGAGCGGAAATGAGATGGACGACTTGTCGTGCGATGGGGTCGTCGTCGAAGGAAGAGAGAGCATGAACGAGAGGCGAGACGAGGAAGTGAGGATGGAAGTCGACGAGAGAGCGGAGGAAGGGGGGGTCGGAGGAGATGGCCTGAGAGAGCTGAGAGAGGGCGTAGGACACGTGGACGGTGGAGGATTGGGGGTTGGAGATGAGGTTGGAGAAGCAGAGCAAGCAGATGGAGCCGCCTTGCTTGGTTCGGAGCAAGAGCGTGGATCTGTGGCCCTCTGAGCACGTTCTCGGTGACACAACGGAATTCGAAGCTTCTTCTTCTTCATTTTCATTGTAGTCTCGGAGGAGCTGCTGCGACTGTGAGTCGTCGAAGTACATTGTGTGACTACGAAGAGTGTTTGAATTTTGGCGCCAGTGAAAGAAAAGAAAAGAAAAGAAAGGAAGCAGCAGATGATGAATTTGTGCTAAAAAACGGAGCCGCTTCCTCTAGTGGCCTCTTGGCACGTGCACAGACTTCGCTCCTGTGAAAAATCTCTTCTTCTCTTTCATTTATTTAATTTGAGAGCTGATTTTTCCACTCCTATTTTCTCCACTTACACTCTCTTCTACTTTTTAATACTTTTTAATCAATATTTTTCATTTATGTTCTTTCTCTTTCATATTCTACCCTTACCCTATATTAAGGTTTTGATAACTGTAATTAAGAAAAGTTAACAGAAAATTTTTATTTAAAAAAAAAGGAAATAAATAGAAATATAAGTATTTGTACGCTAAATTCTTTTTTTTTTTTTTACCAAGTATGTGAGTACTATTTATCTTTGTTGTATTTAATAGATAATAAAAAATTTGGGCTAACATGTTTACAGATAGAAGAACCAAAAAATGCTACTAACTAAATTGTCATTAGGAGCTTAGATACGTAGAGAGAAAGATATGCATAATAGTCTCATATTTTTGTTCTTTCAAAATATTAGTAAGTGATTGTACATGTCTTCTTATTAGAGGGAATCATAGAGTAAGGGTAGAATAGGAAAGAGAAATAACAAAATTGATTAAAAAGTATTAAAAAGCAGAAGGGGGTGTAAGTAGAGAAAATGAGAGTGGGAAAATCACCTCCCTTTAATTTTAGAGTAAATTGCCATACACCCCTAACTAAGACTCCAATTGAACTTAATCCCTGAATTAAAAAGTCAGTCAATTTAACATCTGAATTAAATAAAATGACCAATTTAGCCATTGCCATTAAGTTTTGAAAATTTCATCCAATCTTCCGTTAACTTGAAGAGTAAATTTGTAATTTCGAGTATAATAAATAGTAAGAAAAATAGAATAACATTTATGAAAAATAAGCACCCATCTCTCTCTCTCTCTCTCTCTCTCTCCAGCACGCATCTAGAAAAAACAAAAAAAATGTTCCAAAACAAGAACAATCTCTCAAATGAGGAGTCTGCATCCCCATGGGTTCTTGATTTTCTTATATTCAAAACAAGAACAATCTAATTAATCTTTAGAGATATATTACATCTAGAAATTTTTTTTGATTTTCTTATGACAAGTCATCATGGCTGCTGAAATAATTTTTCACAAGAAATTTACATGCTCTTAATAAAGCAAATAAAGAAGAAATAGCAGGTAATATAAAACTTTACAAATTTATGTGGGTATTGTTGATGCCCAAAATAGGTATCAAATAAAGAAGAAATAACAGGTAATATAAAACTTTACAAATTTATGTGGGTATTGTTGATGCCCAAAATTAGACCTGGCAATATTGCACACGACCCGTTAACACGACACGAATTCGCACGAAATTATCAGTATTTGGGTTGAGCTTAATGGGTCGGGTTGAAAACGGGTGAACCCGTTAGCCACCCGTTAAGCTAACGGGTCGTGTTGGGTCGAAAACGGGTGAACCCGTTACACCCGTTAGGGAGGTTAATTTTGTAATTTTGCAAAATTTCTTTTCTTTTCTTCTTCACCTTTTCCTCTTTTTT